GGGGCGCCGGAGGAAAGCCGCCGCCGCCTGCCCGCCCGCGGACGCTCCCGCCCCGCGCTGAGCGCCTGCCTCCCCTCTTTTCCAGTGTGCATTTCTTACCTGGGAAGATTTTACCAGGACCTCAAAGACCGAGACGTCACGTTCTCGCCGGCCGCTGTCGAGGAACAGCTCACAAAGTTCTGCCGTGAGGCGCGAGGCAAGGAGAACCGCTTGGTGAGTAGCGGGCCCCTCAGTCTAACCCCCGCCGGAAGCCTCTCCCGCGCTCCCCCCCGGGTGTGGGCACCCGCTGCGGGCTGGCCGCCGGGGACGTCGCGGGGGACACCGACGGTGAACGGCTGTCCCGAAGAAGGCGGCCTTGGTGACCCTGGCCGCTGAGTAGACAGCAGGCGGGAGGCTCCCTGAGGCAGGGGCATCCCTGGGGCCAGGTCGCTTCGGGCAGAGGAGCCAGCCAGTGCCTAGGGGCCAGAAAAGGCTTGACATTGCAGAGGGTGCCAAGATGCCCGCGGGGCAGGCGGGACTGAGGACAGATCCCCAGTGAAACTCTGGCTTTTCTACTTCAATTGCCCTGACAGTCTTTGTTCGTCCGTTACCATTTTGAACCCAGGTGACCCGTAAGCTCCCAGACGGTGCCTGTTTTAAGAGCCTGGGGTTTACGCTGACTGACTGCCAGTCCAGTCGGGGCCCAAAAAAATGGGTCTGTGGCAGAGAGGTGTTTAGGAGGAAATGACGCTCAGGTGCCTCCTCCTGAGAGCTAGTGTCCTTTTCTTGCTGCAGTGCTACTACATTGGGGCCACAGATGATGCTGCTACGAAAATCATCAATGAGGTGTCAAAACCCTTGGCCCACCACATCCCCGTGGAGAAGATTTGTGAGAAGCTGAAGAAGAAAGATAGCCAGATCTGTGAGCTAAAGTATGGTGAGTGGGACCAGGCCCATCGTCTTTGGCCTCTGCATGCAGAAAGGAAGGTGATGGTCTAGAGCCGTGGTGACAGGGTCAGGACAGACCCTGTTGAGGTTTGCAAATGAGGCGGGATTTAGCCAAGAGGGGAGCTACTAGAAGAGCATTCCAAGCGGAGAGGTAAGCAGTGTGTAAAAGCAGCCAGTGGCATGACTGGTAGGTGTGCAGGGCACAGGGGGCCTTGCAGGTTGGTGAGGACCTTGGCTGTAGTCTGAGGTTGGGAGCATTAGAAGTTTTTGACTTGGGTTTAACAGCCTTGTCATTGCTACACTCAGCCTGGGGATCCTTAGCCCAAGAGTGACAGAGCTGTAGCATGTCTCTGGCTGAGTTCCTCTCTGGTTGCACGCAGTCCGAGTCTTCAAGAGTCAGGGCCTTCTCTGTAAAGTTTAAACAGTACCAGTGTTTTTACCATGACTCAAAGGTCCAAAATCCTGTTTGCTCTCTTGTGTCAAGGATGCCTGGTCTTCTGAGGGTTATCTCTTTTTTTTTTTTGTCTTTTTGAGACAGGGTCTCGCTATGCAGTTCAGGCTGGCCTTGAGCTCACTTTGTAGTGCAGGCTGGTCTCGAACTCGCAACAATCCTCCTGCCTCAGCCTCCCGAGTGCTGGGATTATAGGCATGTGCCACCACACCCGGCCTGAGAGTTATCTCAATAAAAGTCCATTTGACTTGAGGTCACTGGTCACAAATGATCATCAGAGCAAAGCTCCTGCTCCAGGGCTGCCAGTGTTGGGAATGGAGAAGGGATTTATGTGCCCTGTCAACCGCTGTGCAGCTGTCATCTTACAGTGACTGTAAGAGGCACATGGGGGTAGGAGTTGCCTCTCCTCATGGGAACTGTGTGGTGTTTCTGCACTGGGTGTCCTAGAGTGGACACAGACGGCCTGAGGTCGCCCTCTGGGACAGGTTAAGAGGTAGTTTGGCTGTTCAGGGAGGAACCCTTCCCAGGACTGGGGCTCTGGGTGCTCCACCAGCTTCTTACTCTCCCTTCTGTCCTCTGCAGACAAGCAGATCGACCTGAGCACCGTGGACCTGAAGAAGCTCCGCGTGAAAGAGCTGAAAAAGATCTTGGACGACTGGGGAGAGACTTGCAAAGGCTGTGCTGAGAAATCTGATTACATCCGGAAGATAAATGAACTGATGCCTAAATATGCCCCCAAGGCAGCCAGTGCTCGGACTGATTTATAGTCTACCCACCCCAATTCCTGCTGCACCCGAGGGGAAGAAGTTTGGCTGTTTCTTGCCAAAGCAGCCGTTTTGTAATTTATTTTTTAAGCGGGCTCCTGACAATATCAGATGTGAAGCCTGGAGCTTTCCTGATGATGCGGGCTCTATGGTGCCCCCATAGTGGGATTCATTTCCTTCTGTTGCTGGTTTACTCTAGGACTTCAAAGTGTGTCTGGAATTTTTTTATTAAAAGAAAAAAAAATCTAACTGTCCTTTGAGAGTTAAAGCGAGTGCTGAAATAGGATTTTACCCCATGATGAGGATCCCCATCATTTTATGGTTTCCAGTTTGCGGAGTTTTGGGGTACATTCCCATTTGCTCTTCAGCCCGCCAGTGCCAACAGGACCGGGGCAGGACACTGGCTGAGGCCAGCTGATGTGTGTCGATTTTGCAGGACTGGAGTGCATTGGACACCTCAGCCCGGGAAGGAAGGGGAGCTGGCGCCTTGCCTCCCCGGGTCCAGTAAAGGGGCTGGAGGCTGCACTGTTCTAGGCATAGAGGTGGAGTCTGAAGTGCAGGGGAGGGCCTTGCATCAGTGCTCAGCATAAGCCAGGCCAAGGGCACGTGGAAGTGTTATTCCACAGTGACTTCAACATGTGTGCTCAGTGTCGACATTTCTAAAGATGCTCTGCCTACGTGCTCATCGGGGTTGCAGCCTAGGTCCAGTGTCTACCAGCCTCTGATGCTACTTGGACTTTGGTAAGACTGGCAGAAGTCAGCGTGCTCAGAGCAGTGTGGGAGGGCTGCCTTTTGCCTCTGTAACCTAGGTAACAGTCCTGAGAGCTTGTATGGAGTCTGGTTTTTGCCTGCGCTCTGGCGTTGGTTCTCAGTTATCAGTGTAGCTATGGCTCCTCCTGTGACAGCATCTCCTTGCACGGAGACCTGCGGAAACGAAGCTCTAAGAAACTGCTAAGGTCACTTCATTTGTGTGGTTCCTAAGTTCACTTTGCCTGTCAGGGCTGGCCACGGGGCCCACTGCCGTCTCTCACGAGGCCCTGCTTGCACCGGCTGCTTTCCGATTGTGAGAGGAGGGGGAAGCTAGGCGCACTCTTCCTCACCCTGTGGGTGCTGTGCCCGAAGCTGGGTCAGGTTCTGCAATGGCTTCAGCCGCTGGCCTTGGAGAACGAAAGCTCACCAACGCTTGCGCAGCCTTCCCTCACCGCACCTGGACCTGACCAGAGTACTGGCCGCAAGCGGTCAAGCGATGCCAACCGCCGGCATCACCTGCCCTCGGCTTCTTCGCCGGGGCCCTGCGGCCCTGCCTTTCCAGCCTGCTGCCCGGATGCCGCAGCAGAAGGTTGCACGGAGAGGCACCAGGGCGCCCGCTCCAGCCCTGAGCGCTGCAGGTGGGTGATCTCCAGCTCTGCTGAAGCCCGGACGCGGTCAGTGCGGGAGCAGCGGGAACGCGACGGCATCGCCGCCGTGGCCCTAACGGGCTGCTGCCGGCGAACCCGGTGCGGGTGAGGCCGGGCTGTGCGCCCCCCGCAGGGAGCGAATGTGGCTCGCGCCCGCCGCGCCAGGCGGAAGCTGCCGCTCCTCACTCCAGCACCGCCAAGCTAGCCTAGGTCCACCCCGCCAGCCGCCGTCTGCGAGCGCGCCAGGCACAGCGCACAGCCCCGAGCGTCAGCCGCGCTAACGGCGCGCCGGCGCCACGGCTGTCAGCCCGACTTCCCTCTCGGCTCGCCGCCGGGTCACGTGACACAGTATGGCGCAACCAGATGACGCGCCCGGCGCGGCGTCGCCCCGCCCCTCAGTCACATGGGAGGCCGTCGCAGCGTGATGACTCAGTGCCCAGCCCCTCGGCGCCGCTCCCGCCCCGCCCC